AAAAGTTAATTTAGATCATTCTTTATTTAATATAAAAAAATTATAAAGATTAGTTAAAATTTGAATGATTTTTATTAGAAGTAATTATTTAATTTTATATCAATATACAAATCTTTTTGCATCAATCCTTAAAATAAAATATAAAAAAGTATAAAACAAAATGATATATTTATATAAAATAAAAAGTATTAAATACAAATAAATTAATAATCTAAAATATATATATGAATTTTATATAATTAATAAAATTAATTATTTTAAGTTATATTTTTCTTTAAAGAATAATATTATATTTAATTTAATAAATAAAAAATAATTAAAAAAATATTAAAAAAAAATAATATACTTTTAAAGAAAATAAATAAGAAAAAGATAATAATAATATTTATGAATCTATTAAAATAAATAAGAAGATAATAATAATATTTATAAATCTATTAAAATAAATAAGAAGATAATAATATTTATAAATCTATTAAAAAAAGATTAATATTTATAAATCTGTTAAAAAAAGATCTAAAGTAATAATGATATAATTCTTTATTATTTTTGAACAAATTAATAAAGTATATTATAAATTTATAAAGCAAAATTATAATACTTTACTAATTAAATAAGTAATTATAATTATAAAATATAAATAAGAAAAATATAAAAAAATAACTTTTACTAGTTAAATAAGTTAAAATTAAATATAAAATATAATAATAATAGAAAATAAAATATATTAAAAGTATTAATTAACTTATTATACTTTTATTTATAAGTTAGTTAATTTCAAGTCTAATTAACTAGATCTATTAGTTATAAAATTTCTTTTATAATAATTTAAGTTATACTAATTTATATCTATATAAAATATAATCTGATTTATAATTAATTATATAATTTAATTAGTAAAATATTAAGTACTATATTAGATAAATTAGTAATATATTAAATATAACAATAATTTAATTAGTATAATATTATCTAAATTAATATTTTATTATATATAATTAGAATATTAATAAGAAATTAAGTAAAATATATATTTGAAATAATTAAAAAATATAATCTAATTATTAATTAAGTAATTAATATCATATTATAGAAGATAAATTATAAAGATAAAAATTATAAATCAGTTAAAAATAGAAATTAATAATTAATATAAATTAATATAATAAAGAATAATAAAAAAAGAAAAAAATTATCAAAAACAAGAAAAAAAAATATAATAATACAATTAAGATCATGAAATTAAAGATAAAAGATAAACTAATAATAATATTTAAAATAATAATAATTATTAATAATAAAATTAATAAAATATTAAATTTATTATTATTTATTTTAATTATAAAAACAAAAAATATATTAATAGAATATATTCTATAATAATTTATAAAATATAATTAATTTATAAAATTAAAATATTTAAATTAAAATTTTATTTTTAAAAAATAATAGTTAGTAAAATTAAAATAATTAAAATAATAATAAAAAAATTAATTTATAAAACAAGAATATAATTACTCTTTTAATTTAAATTCAAAATTTAATAGTTGATTTATAAATATTTGCTATTAATATTTCAATAATACTTTTAATTAATTTTTATTAATAAATTATAATTTTAACAGGAGTAATATAATTAAAATTCAGATTTATAACTTAATTATTAAAATAAATTAGTTAAATAAAATTAATATTAAAATTAATTACAAAAAAAATTATAACTTTTGAATAGAATAAAAAAGATAAAAAAAGTAAGAATTAAATTTATTTATAAGTAATAAAATATATAAATAATAAAGATTTTGAAATTTTTTCTAGTAATTGATTAATTAGAAATTAAAATATAAAAAATCATAATTTTTTTGTTAAATATTTAATGAAAGCAGACTATAAAGAGTTTTTATTATAATAATAAATTCAATTTTAAAAATATATATATTTTAATATTACAATAACTTATTTATTTAAATTAATATAAAAATGAATACTCTGAATACTTTTATTAAAAACTAATAAATAAAAGCAAAATATTAATAAGTATTAAATATAATAATTTAATAAGTATTAAATAAGATATTAATAATTAAAGAAAGATTCTTTATCCAAAATAAAGTCTAAAAAATTAAATTAAAAGACTGAGTATTCAAATATTTATATTATAAATATTTTTATAAACAGTCTAAATATTTTAAAGTTTAAAATATAAACAAATAAGATAAGATTACTTTAATTATTTTATAATAACTTAATTTATCTATTTATTCTTAATATAAATTTTAAGATAAAGTAAGATATTTCTTGGAATAACTTGAAAATAAAATAAAGTATTTTTATAATTATATTAAATAATATATATATATAATTATAATAATTAATAAAAAATAATAGAACTATTAGAAAATTAAGAAGTAATAATAATTTACTTAATATTTATTAATAATTAAAAAGTAATACTTATCTAATATATTGTTATTTATGATAAAAAAAGAAGAAGCAGTATAATATATTAATTATAAAAAATTAAAAGAAGTTATAATTCAAGAAATTTTTATAGCAATTTATTAATAATTATCTCTTTCTTATAAAAAATAACTTGCTTAATTAGAATATATAAATATAAAGCTTTGTAATAAATATTTGATTCTGCAGCTTATAAGAATTATATAATTTAAATAAATAAATAAAATTTATAAAAAAAATGAAAAGAAAAGAAAATAATAGTGAATATAATTCAATAAAAAAATTTTAATTGAAAATTATTCAAACTTGATAATTAAAATTTATAATAATGAAAAAAATACCTAAATAAGCAAATAAAATTTTATATAAATTATCTTTTTTTTTTTTTAGTAAAATAGCTATCAAATATATTTAATTATCAATTTTATTATATAGTATATATAACAAAATATTAAATAACACTAGATAAAATCTTAGTTAAGAATCTCTTCATATACAAAGATACTCTTGATATAATGACCCTTTGATATAACGAAGTCTAATTAAAATCGAGATATAATGAACTTGAGTTCAGGAACAATTTATTATAAACCATATAATAATTCCGCTCGATATAATGTATAATGAAGTTTTTGAAATTTTTACATAATGACGCGACTACTTCGTTATATCAAGAATGGCTTGGTACTTATAATTATATATTATAATAAGAATTAATTAATAAATTCAATTTTGATATAAAAAAGAATTTTTTCAAAGTTAAAGCAGAATTTTGTTAAAATTATAATAGAATTTTTCCAGATTTTTGATTATATTAATATTAAATGTGATATTTTAATTTTCTAAAACTAGAAGATTAGGCGCAAAAAAGTATAACGATAACGATAATGAAATTGGATGCATACAATCGGTGTTTAAAATCTGTTGATTCTCCAGTTGCCGATCTTGTCCGGATACTTTTGTCAAGCCGGTATATATCGATATTTAAAAAAATAGATACGGACTCTACTAGTACATGTACATATATTGTTAATAATATCGACTTTTTTCTGAAGGATATTATACAAGTGCTATACGGTATATTTAGATAAAGGAGTCTGTTGATGAATAATTGTTATCTAAACAAAACTAAATTCAAGGAAACTATATTTTAAAGAACTACTACGTATTGACAATAAAATTTCATTCTCCTCAAATTCATGTAATTCGTTTAATTATCATCAAAATTAGCGTGTTTTACCGATAACCATTCACGCCAAGCACCTGCTCGCTTATTTCGGGAAACATTAGCAATCGTCAGAGTCTTTTCATCGCATCCGAAATTTGAGGACACAAAACAGTCCTCTGAACCATCGATGAAAAATATTTTAGAAGTTTCTCGGCTAATCGATAATTCTAAATTATTCTTTTGCCATTTTGTGGGTTTTTTCATGACCTTTTTTAGGTTGGTGCATCGTAAATTTGTGAAGTTTCTAGGGAATATATTTAAATCAGTGATTACGCATTAATTAGAGAAAAACTGGCAACATAATGTTAGTTGGCTACCTCCTTAAGAACGGCATTTTCAATTGCTTTAAATCTACACCTCGAGTCGTTGTTACATTTACATAACTAAAAAGATAGTTGGACCAATCTTCTTCGAGTGTTAGTGAAGAACTATTGTAAAATGCAATTGAGACCACTTTTTTATGCTTCAATAATATAAAATATAGTTTGAATGATAATAATATTAAAAATAGTTTATTTTAGCAAATTGACAAATCAATAATTAATGACTTACGGATTCAATTCGAAACATGTTATCATTATCTCCAATTAATTCTTTGGCAAGTGTCTGATACTCTAATGGTATGCGAGTTGTTCCAACAGACTTCTCATTATCAAACTTGTGATCTTTATGTTTTATGTAAAGTGCCCACAACCCGTTACTGTTTTTTGACTGCTTGACATTCTGCATCTATTTTTGATAAATATTGACGTTAGATATAATTAGAGAATTAATGATTTTTTTTTGACAATTACCTGTTTAGCGATACTCTGAAGCAATTGTTTAATAGTAAATATAGTATATCCCTTCGTCGGAAATATTCGATATACACATTCTTCAAATTGGATCGTTGCTGTTTCTTTCGAGGATTTGAGGTATTTTATAATAAGGTCAAGTAATGCGTCATATGATTTCATATCTAAGTTTGATTCATCTATAAGGATTATGATTTTTGAAATTTGGTATTGTAAAAAGCAAAGTTTATATATAATCTGATTATTAGAAATTACTAACATTTTTGTAAACCCGCCTGCAGAATGTGATTTGGATTGTTATTTCGAATCGGTCGTGACAGATTCTTTAGTGACTCCAAACGACTATACAAGATCTAACAAAAAAAATATAATTTATTTTTAAAGTATTCAGTTTCAATTAATGATAAAATCCAAGCAATAGCATAATTACCTGAAATAGCCTCATAAAATAATAATAATAGTTATTCCCAAAAAAGCATTTATCAATTCTAGAATCCTCCGAAACAATCTCGGTATCATCAGAATTCTGCGTCCATAGCCTATCGTTATTAATTTCAGTTTCTTCCTCCTCCTCCGCCTTATTATTATCTACAGCAATCTCATCCAATACATCAATCTCCATATTATCATTGTTATTTTTGCTACTACCATGAGCACCAAAAAATCCTAACGGAAGACCAAGCAAATTCACAAGAAATGTCTCCACAAAATCACAATATGATTTTCGCTGTCCCATATCATATCTTTCAGATTCATATAAATAAATGCGCAAAAGCATAACAGCATCACGTAACACTTCGAGATCATCGAATGCGTATTTATATTGATATTTTTGAAATGTAACATTAATTTTCGATTGTTGATACAGTTGCTCGATTTCGCTTAACATAATTTTGACGTTGAGTGTTTTCTTCTTGTCCTCATGTTTGAATGTGTTGCCTTGAAAGTCGAGTGACTTGTAATAATTTTTATAATTGATTTCGCGCCAAATTTTGTTCCAATTTATCTATAAATATAAAATTTATTATCAAAAATTTCAAAAAAATTGACGGCAAGAAAAATACTGTTGTCAAATAAATAAGAACAAAATTTTTATTACATGTGCTTTTCTCCACATTTCGTGTTTTTGCTTCAACCGCCTCAATACTACAGGAACCGCCATTGCAGGATTCTGGTGCACTGCATCTAATACCTCATTGCAGCGCCCACCATTATACAGTTTTTTAATTACCCGTTGATAAACCAAAGATTTACCACCTAGTCCCTGTGGAAGTCTAAACGTAACCTTTTCTTGCGGAGTCATTGTGTTGATTTTTCTTTTGATCGGCTCAAGTATTTTGATGGTGAGTGAAAGAGATTCCATGAATAAGTCGAATTCGTATCTTGAATATAATTTTGCAATTTCAGTATTTTTGCCAATATTCTATCAAAGAAATTAATAGATAGACCTTTCTTCTTCACATTGATTCATCGCTTCTGCATAGACATTCCTCTTTTGTGCTATGTGTTGTTCCTCACTTTCACATTTTGGATAGGACATCCATTCATCGTTCAATACTTCGTGCGCTACTTCATCCATACCCGTGCTGGGCATACTCTGAAAATTATACTATTTGAATAATACAAATAGGTTGCAAAAAGAGAAAAAATAAATTAGAAAACTTTAATAATACCTCTTTCTGCAGCGTCCGATAGCTAGGTCCACATGGTTTGCAATTTTTTAAATCCAATGTCGTAACAGGCTGAGTGTTGGCTGCAGACTTGTAAACAAGAACTGGATCCTGTTTTTCATTATATTTGATCAACTTTTTGAAGTCAGCAAGCAATACATCACCGTCATCACCAAGAATAATTTTTATTCTATCCACAACAAATTGTTCGTTTAAGATTTGCCGTGAGTAGAGTGTGAGGATTTTAAGAAATTCTTGGTATTCTGGTGATGCTGGCCCTAAAAAGTCTTTCATCCGTTTAAAGAAAGTAAATTCTTCGATGCTGATCGCAGAATCTGTAACGACGACTGACGAGTTGGATGTTGTTGGAGTAGGTGAAATTTTATTGTGGTTGCTTTTCTTTTTCTTCACCTTTAATATTCATGATTAGAAAACCATTTTTATCATTTTTCCGAAGAAAAGAACGAATCAAATAATACCTTTTCTGCAATTAAAAAAGATTCATTATCCTCTACATTCCTTCGTTTCTTTTTATTATACACATTAGGCAAATTGACTACTGCAGGTGACGATAATGAATTAATAATATTTGAGTTAATTTCTGACATTTCAATGACCACAATGATTGAATTAACATTGAAACCTTCAGCTCGTAAAATATTCTCCTTACCTGACATGGCATCTGGTGGAATTACATGCATCATCGATTCCGAAATAGAAGTATTGCAGGAGCCCGAAGCGTTTTCGATTGTTTGCATATCCATGTTGGATTTATTAGATAAACTGCTTGGACCTGGAGAACTAGGAAGAAATCGATCTATGAATTCATTCAACAAATCCGGCGATTTTTGGAGGATATCTTGAATGCGAGAGCCAACCTAATTACGTATGATAATGAGAATAGAAATTTGATGAACCAGAAAGTTCAAGATATAAATTTTGTTGATATTTACTTCCATATTACTAATTTCCTTAAGTTGATACGCTTGTAGCATTTCCAAGAATTCTTTATACACGTCCGGTTCTGCTACATATCGCGTCTATTTATTGAAAATTCATGAACATAACGTCAATGTATCATTATAGCATATAACCTACAAGTATAACGCTAAATCTACCTTAATCCTATTGATGTATTCTATCGCTTCATTGAAAGGAATATTTTCTTGAATTCGTTTTCTTACTTGATTTTGCTGTAATTGAAGAGCTGCGACCACAGGAGTATGCGGTTGCGATTGTACTGAAGTAGGAATATATTGCTGCCGTTGTTGAGAAATATATTCCGATATGTTTTGAGAAAATGTTGATTCACTATTGTTTTCTGATGGTTCAAGCAAAAAATGCTGAAGTTTTGTGGATGTTGATGTAAATTGAGCAGAAGATGCGGTAAAAGGAGAAGATCGCATAGGGATGACAAAGGAGTTGTTCGCAGTGACCAAACTTGTCATAGGAATTCCAGAAATTTGCAACATAAAATCTAGACGTCCACTTGGTGATGTAACAGCAATCTTTCTATCATTTTCCCCATGTAAAAATTCAATCACGAATCCGGACGGAAGAAATGTATTAAATCCTAGAATAATATCAACTCTGTCTTTAAACAGCAAAATAACTCGCTCAATGACATCTTCTGTGCCAATTACGGCACTTTTAAATTCTCGCATGATGTCAAGAAACTCTATGTATATATGCGGTTTATCACTGAACTCTGTGCGTACAAGTTCCAAGTATTTTATTGCGTCGTCTGCATTTAGCTGCTTCTCTGTTTGCAATGGTTGGATTAATGACATGTTTTCCATTTTTTATGTGTGAGCGTTTAACAGGAAAGATGAAATAAAATAAGTATTAGTATTAGTAAATATTATTTATCATACTAGGCAAAGTTATTCTGGTTGATAATATGATTTTTGTCTTAAAATGCTAGAAATTTATACTTTTGTTTTCAGTGTGATTACAAATTATTTAGCAACTTTATAAGGTAAAATTATGCGTGATTTGCAATACGATAAATGATGAAACTTTTTGTTTATTCAATAAATCATTCAAAGGAAAACATGCATCATATTAAACATCACTATAATTAAAATATGTTATTTTTAGTAACATTATATGCAATTTTTCACCTCAATGGAGATATATACGTTTCTACGTTTATTCCCTTAGAAGAACCAAAAAATATATATATATATATAAATATATAATTAATTACATAACCTGCATATATAAAAAAGGTTTATGTTATTTTTTCGAAATTCCAACATCTTTCGCTTAAATCCAATCTTTTTAAAAAAGTTTTAAAGTACTCGAGTTTTTAGCATTACATGTATAATTTTTCTGACTCTCCAATAAAAGAATATTGTGCTCATACGTATTTATTTGTTATTATCGTTATCGTTATGCAGGATTTAATTTTTTAATAAAGCAGGATTAGCTTGATATACTGTACATGTACATATATTCGTATCGGTATACTAATAAATTATCAAGTTCACTGCATTAAACGTTATGCAAAGAAAATGAGCTTTTTGTTCGATGTGTTACAAATTATGGGGATAAATAAGGAAAAATTCCTTTTGTCTGCAAATACAAAGTTGTAGAATTCATGATTATGCGCCGGAGCAACAAGCTCAAAAAGAAACAAATTTATGGTATCCCGAGTTCGACTAATCTCCACATTTAAAAACCATTTCCTGATGATGTTCCAAAACATGGACATGTTGCTATTTATGCTTAAGCAAAAAATTTTAAACCTCAGCTTGATTTCAAATTTTATTTCATTGCGATAAAAATTTAACGAAAACTGATTTTATGGGGTTGTGTGCGGAGTGTATACTTGTTTAAGAGTTTTAATGAATTGTTTTGTTATTGTAATTTTTTAAACTTTGAATTCGTTTCATGTTCATTAATAATTTCCATATACAGTTTATGATTACACTTTTGAATTGATATATTATTATGGTTAAATGTACACCCCGGTTAGCTGAGAATGAAAACAACGTTAACTTAGAACTATTATGCCAAATAATTTGCTTACATGTTTGATTAATGTGAATACATCATGTATTAGTAAAAACTCTTCAATTTATGTGAATTTGCGCACATTACATTATTTAATAAAGATTTTTAGTAAGCTCGCTTTTCAAATTGATAAATGTTTTCGAAGATAAATACTTTCTTGGTAATAATGCTTCATTCTTAAATTTGACTTGTAGAATAAATTGGTTATTAGCATGTCTTCTAGAAGCCGCATAAATTGGTAGGATTTAAATAGCACCTCACTTTCAAAAATGTTGTAGGTTTACTCAGTGTCACTGATAAGTTCCTTAATTTGAGTTCAATTGGGGAAAATCACATATATACAGTATTCTCGCACAGTTCAGTTATAATCAAACTAACGAAAATGATAGAATAAATTTGAGTTGAAAGTTTTCATTCATATCCTGATTTATAAATTTGTACCGTTCACATACAAACTTTGAACTCAAAATTTACAAGATGCGCATGCCATATGACATTATGAAAATTCGCTTGCTTAGAGTTTATAACTATCTTAACTTTGATTAGAAAATATGTGCAAAGATGTCAATTCGTAAAACCTAAACTATCATAACTAAGGAATAAAATTTTTAATTACATGTACTGGAGAAAATACATGTATAAACATTAATAAACTTCTAGTGCTACAAAAGATGTATAGTCAAATGATGAAATAGTTATATATTAATGCGCTTCAGTTTGACATATAAAATTTATGTGTCCAATTTTATTGTACAAATATGTATGCACATACAATGTACATGTACATGTAAATATATCGGTATTGTTTATTGTCGCAACAATGAATTCCTTAATTCTTCATTTTGTCATTACATGTACATGTATATAGTTAGCAGTTTGACATTGTAACATTTAAATTATTATTATTAGACGTGTATTTGATACTGCCAAACTTTTTTTGTGATTTTAACGGTGTAAGAAGAGTAATTCTGCTTGTGTTTGACTATTGTCCAAATTTGACAATGCCAAAATCCTTGGAGGAATTTACATGTATAAAAAAGCTCCTTGATGACGAAAGGCTCTAATCGAATACATAATAATAAAAGTAAAATTTGTAAACTCATCTTTACTGTTTAAATTATTATCCTTGGTTACAAGTAGTGGAGGACCTTCACTCTAAATAAGCCACACTTCGATTTTGGATTGCTTGTTAACAGAAACTAAGTCCAACTTTAGCAATTGTTGGTTATTTTCGTAAGGCAAAAAAATAAGTCCTGTTGATTCGATTTACAATAGTTTTTGGTTAACAGAATTATATTATTTGAAACCCCTTTAAACTCTTAGCTTTAAGTTGATTTGTGCACAAAATCATCACAGGAAATCCTTTGTCTGTAAATCATTCATGATTACGCTTAATTTTTGATGAAAACTATTCTTTTCCATAAAGCGGAACAGTACGCCTAAGTTTTGTCACTCAAACGTCACGCTCATGATCTCTAATAATTTAAGAAAGTTAAAGTAGTTACCATTTCTTTTCTAACAAAGATCAGCATTTTTCCGTTGTTTTATCGAAGTATTCCGCCAATTTCATCTAAAGCTGGTTTGCACCGCCAGAAAATTTGAAATTAATGGATGTCAAATAGCGATTTTAATTTCGTCTCTTTATTCCTAAATACAACTATATGTACATGTCTTCAATTGACAATATCGTCACTTTATATTGTTAAGATAAGACATACATCAACGTTCGGAGTTTCGCGATACGCTGTTGCAGTCGTAACGAAACGTCCCGTGATTACGAAAACATTATAAATGTGCATGTACATAATCATCACTATCTGAACCAACCGAAATTTTACGATCGTTTCGAAAAATTTCTTACATTATGGTGTCAATATCAACATTGCTTTGCTATTAACACGTACTTCTTATAAATATTCTTACTTTACGCTTCCAAGAATGTGAATATCAGTAGAAATCCATAAATATTCGTATCATACGTTATTCCTTAATCATAGAAATGATTACAATTTCCTACCAAATTCACACTTTATGTTGTATGTAATAAAATTATTTTATCATTTTTAATAATCACAATTAATTCTATTGCTATTCTTTGTCTTTTAGCATGGCCATGGCCTTTTAGGACCCGCAAATTTTGTTATATTTACAATCTGTAGATAGTATAGTTAATTAGTAACGAAATTGTATATACCTGATATATGACAGCATTCAAAAGTCAGAGAGACAAGTCACTCTGTGATTTGAAGAAAAATAATTAAAATTTATTTTAACTCTTACCTAATATTGTTTCGGCTTTGGCCATATGAAAGTTGATGATCCTTTGATTTTATTATTTGACTTTATTTAATTTATTGAACCCATATTATTGTATCTTAATTGTGGTTTGGAATAGTATTATTTAAGTTCATTAGTATAGTTATTTTGTTATTTGAATTAGATTCTATTTTGATAATAAACATAAATTACTTTTGTTAATTGAATAAATGTTATTATTACACGCTTTACATTGGCTTTTACCACCTTTGAATCCTTTGTCCTTTGATTTCAAATCTCCATGTAGATTGGCATAGGAGACCATTAGAATCCACTTTGTGTATCGAGTCCTTGTCTCATTTACAATTCCTTAGTCCAATTAACTTCTAAGTTGAGTGTGACAATGCAATATCATTTTCAAGGTACCCTATTTGGGCTTTGTACTCGGTTAACCGTAGAAGAAAATTTTCTGTTATACTCATTAAATCGCAAGCAAGCATATTAGAAACTTCTAAATTATTTGCGCAAACAGTAAAGCCATGTTTAACCAAACTGAATACATTCAGATTTTACAAACTTTAATATATGTAATCCGAATATTCGTATACAATATCTATTTGTGTATTTATGAAGGAAATTTTTTATCTAATTTTTATTTGTCAACAACACACAAGTTCAATTAAATTAATCTCCCCAATTAACTGAAATTTACTATTCTAACTAGAATTAAATTCACTTAACACATAAATTATAGTAATGTTAAGTAAAATGAATTACATTGTTGTTTGGTTTGTTCTTTAACAAAATGCGTGTATCATTGTAAAAAGTTCAACAACAAACAGTCAATACTTAACATTAGGAATAATGTTAACACAAAAAAACAGCTTAGCAATAAAAGCCTAATACATGTATATCGAATGTATGTCGTTCCTTTCCACAATCTTTCATATAGAATTTGAATTACTAATACAATAATTTATCGCAAAAAAATTCATAATCACTTTAAAATGGAATTTAAAGGGATAAAGAAAATAAATGACTAAAGCAGAAAAATATAAAATAACTGGGAAGTTGCAAATCAACAACTTAGTTTCATTAACCATTCTGAGAACTATATCCATTTCTCTAAAAACCTTTGTTAACTAAACATTCATTTCGATAATGCTTAGTCAATTTTCCCCACCTCAATTACCACCGATTTCAATCATCATGAGGATGTCCGAGATCATAATCATATTGAAGTGTATGATATTCTGATGTATTTCCTTTGTCTATCCTACCTACTTGCCATAATATTTATCAGTTTGATGACTGGATTTTACCGACATTATTGAAAAATACCAACCTTCCTGATTCTGGATTTTACCGACATTATTGAAAATTACCAACCTTCCTGATTTACATTTGTACTCGTGTAGACTACCAAGGGATGCGTCGTGAACTTTCTTCGGAATCATATTTGGATGCATTTTCAATTCTAAACTTCTCGGCGGCGTTTATTTGTTGTTTTTCCGTATCTGTAATGTTGTCGAAATACCATTTTTCAACGATGTCGCAAATCTCTCTAGAAGTTGGTTTTTGTGAGGGATTTTTATGCCAACCACGTACAATCAAGTCGCGGTAAAAGTCAGGTAAACCTTTCGGTAATTCTGGTCGTAATCCATCACATATATCCAAGGCTAAATTAACATCGAAAGGACGTTTACCGAATGAGGTTTCCCAACACACCACTCCCACATGACAATTCCTAATGCATAGATATCTGATGCCATACTGAATGCTTCTCCTCGGAAAATCTCTGATGCAACGAATGGCATCACACCAAACTTTGGCCTTCTCCATTTGTTGAATTTTGTCTGATTGCAGCACCCAAATCACAGATTGTAGTATCAAATTCATCTACTCGAAGAATGTTTCCAGAATGCAGGTCACCATGTATAATACCTTTTGAATGAATAGACTTAAGTTCAGTACAAATATCATATAGCACTTGTATGCGATCGCTCCATGTTATTTCGGTGAATTGCTTTCGTAGACAATGTCGCAGATTACTAAGGTTGGCATAAGCGATAACTATAAAGTATTCTCCATTTGAAGGATTGTGTTATCTCATAGACTTTATAGTATCTACACCTATATATGCATGAAAAAGTAAAAGATAAATAAAAAGGAAAACAGAAAGCTACTATTTCCTATAAGCTTATTAGACAAATGGTAAGAAATTGCATTAAATTGTATCTAATAAAAAAATATAAATAATAAATAAAATAAATTGTTGATTTCCTACAATCTAAATAAAAAATAGAATTATGAATTAGAGTTAAATAAATTAATACAGTATCAAAAAAATTAGAATGAAAATGTCAAGATAAAATCGTTGATTTCTTACTTCCTAAATAAAGGATAGAATAGTTAAATAAATTAATATCAAATAAAATTAAAATGTATATGTCAAAATAAAATCGTTGTTTTCTTACAATTTAAATAAAATAATGGATTAGCTAAATAAATTAAATACCAAATAAATTAAAATGAAAATCTCAAAATAAAATCGTTGATTTCTTACCATCTAAATACAGGATAGAATAATGGATTAGTTAAATAAATTAATATCAAATAAAATTAAAATGAAAATGTCAAAATAAAATTGCTGATTTCTTACTCCTAAATAAAGGATAGAATAATGGATTAGTTAAATAAATTAATATCGAATAAATTAAAAATGTATGTGCCAAAATAAATTCGTTGTTTTCTTACAATCTAAATAAAAGATAGAATAATGGATTAGTTAAATAAATTAATATCAAAAAAAAATTAAAATGAAAATGTCAAAATAAACTGGTTGTTTTCTTACAATCTAAATAAAGGATAAAATTATGAATCAGTTAAATAAATTAATATCAAATAAAATGAAAATGAAAATGTAAAATAAAATCGTTAATTTCTTACGCCCTAAATAAAGGATAAAATTATGAATCAGTTAAATAAATTAATATCAAATAAAATTAAAATGAAAATGATAAAATAAAATTGTTGATTTCTTACAAGGAAAGAGTAATGGATAGTTAATTAAGTCAATGTCAAATAAAATAAATCGTTGATTTCATACTCTCTAAATAAAGGATTAGTTAAATAAATTCATATCAAATAAAATTAAAATGAAAATGTTAAAATAAAATTGTTGTTTCTTACCATCTAAATAAAAGATAGAATAATGGATTAGTTAAATAAATTAATATCAAAAAAAAAATTTTATAATGAAAATGTCAAAATAAAATGGTTGTTTTTCTTACAATCTAAATAAAGGATAGAATAATGAATTAGTTAAATAAATTAATATCAAATAAAATTAAAAAATAAAATAGTTGATTTTTTACCATCTAACTAAAGGAAAGAATAATGGATTAGTTAAATAAATTAATATCTAATAAATTTAAATAAATGCAAAATTAAATATTACCTTCACTAATCAAAAACTTAAGATAATTAATTAATTGATGTTAATAAAATAATAATTTTTATTACCGTTTTTTTTTCACATTCATAGGTTAATTTTGCCTTTATTTAATTATTATTAAATAAATAGTATTAGAACAAAGGTGAATAAATAACTACGGAATAGGAATTTCGTATATTTATCGATCAAATCCAAATTGTGGCTTTAGACATCATCTTTAATATTATTACCTCATGCAATAATGCTGTTATTGTCTTGGCTGACTTCAATGCAACCTTTTCAACATTACAAACACCTTTGTACACTTCACCAAATCCCCCCTTGGCAATTTTCTCAATATTAGTAATTTTTTCGAAAGGTATTTTTTCAATTCCTGGTGTCTCTTCGATTTCATCATCATAATCATAATATATACACTTGTAAAGTGGAAAATCCAAAAGAATCGTTCGTCTTGTCTAATCCGGAAATTTCTTATACAAAACCGGTGGAATAGGAATTAAGATCTCGTCTGCTCGTGATACACAGAATAAGGGTAGTAGTAGCCTGATTTGTAGTGCTTTTTCTGAGCTGAGATTTCTGTCAAGGATAGACCTAAAATAAAGAGTAAAAGAACTGGAAATAGAAATATTTACGAGCGTGTTGTTAAAGAATTCTGTTTTTATTTGAATCATGACATTACAATAAAACAAATATACGCGTGTGTTACTTGTTATATTTATTGGCGATAATATTGAGAGCCAAGGTATATTTGTACCAATACCCGAGGCAGTTGGTTGTATACAAAGTAAAAACATCCCCCACCTTAATGTGCATAATAATTAGAGTTTGAGATGAAAGCTGAATTAATGTTTTATATTAGAAATAAAATTAATAAAAATTCACTTACCAAACCTAATTTAATTATGAAAGCTTGCTTAATTAAAATTCATGTTATAAAAATTTCAAGGATTTAAGAGTCAAATATCTTTTCTCACTAAGATTTTTCCAAAATAATTTGGATAGTGACATCATCTTCATAGACTGGTTGTAATAAATTCTAAAGAAGAACTTTGCCGCAACTGAAATTGTAACTATAAAGTAACACTTTATTTATTTAGTAAACTTGAAAGCACTCATTGCATATTTTTCAACAATAAATACATAGAAAGCACAAAACTTGCTTTTGACTAATTAGCAACAATCTCAATTAATAATCCTAGTCATGAAGAAAATAGTTTCAAAATATTACTACCCGTATTAAAATTCACATCATGCCCTCCAATAGAAGAATTACTCATGTGAGGAGAATTCAAAAAAGTTAACAGTAACGAACAGACCCATACTCATGACATCGAAATTATTCAAAATCTGAGAAAAGAAAAAAATTTTTCTCTTATTCCATTAAATCTGAACATCAAAATTATCCAAAATCTAAGAAAAGAAAAAAAATTTTTTCTTATTCTATTAAATCTGGAATTGAGATTACCTGCTTTGTGTATTCTATAATAATAAAATACTAATATGATGGCTATCATCTATAAATTGCATAGTCCAAAATTTCAGATATAGATCACTACGTGATTTTTATAATAAATCACATGTCTATATATTTTTTATTATGATAAATATATAGTATATACCATCTCATAATTTTATTTTATTCAATTCTAATAATACATACTCAGGGATATAATGGTAAGACTTATACTTTCTGGCAGCATATTTTGCTAACTTATCAGTGATTCTCTTCCTATACAAATTCATATAGCATCATGCTTTCCTAGCGAATCTTCTTATTGTAATCATATCAACAGATTCCAAGACTGCAAAAATGACATGTTGTAAGTCTGACCAAGAATAATCACAGTTCTCTTGAGCATACCTTTTTGTCACACTTCAGTATTGCTTAATATAATTCAGTTCACAGTGAAACTTTGGATAAAAAATATATTTATATTCAGCTTCCAGTATAACTTCTTCTAATATGCTTTTCTGTGATAAAAAATCTGGCTGTAATAAAATAATTCACCATGTACAATAGTTCATCTGATTTATATCATCAACCTTATCCTTGCATAACTTACAATTAGCACTTAATCTATTTTTTCATAATTCATGTTCAATTAACATCTGTTTCATCCCTTTAGGCTCATTTTTTTCATTAACTATTGATTGATAACAGTTATCTGGTCCAAAAACTATGTCTCACATTTTTGGTTGCTTGCTTTCAGATTTTAGATTCATCTGACTTATCATGAGTGAATCAGATCTATATGCTGTATGATTTGAACTATTATCAAATACAAACAAGATAATACAATTTGGAAATATGATTTCAAAGATTAATATAGTCTTCATTTTTACTTGTTTGACTAAATTCTTATTCATCCAGTATCTGTCTCAATTTTTTCCTGATTGAAGATAGACTCAAGCTTCTTCAGATATGGATGGACTTTCTTGACATTGCTGTGAGTTTAATTTAAATTGGCCATATTCTTCCATCAAAAATTCACTAATCATGATAGAATATCCATTTCCCTTCTTGTATAATAGTAACTCTCCAGATTTTACTCATACTTCTCGTTTACCATTATTTAAGTAGAATACACTCTCATTATACATTACAAGAACTATTTTCTTTTTGTTTGATCTCAAAATTAGCAGTATCTATTCCATATTCTCCCCTTCATACTTAGCCATATACTTTTTATAACTAAATATCATGTTCAGAAATAATTGTTGATATCTTATAACATCAGAATACTTGTGTTCATCATAGTATATGCCTATTTATCATGATGTAAAATTAGTTTAATTTTTTATTTTTTAATAATGAATTTATTCTTACCTTGCTTTTGTGATTGAAAAAAATATCTAAGTACATTAAGCTAATGTGCTGCAGTTGCAATACCAATGATATTTTTTTTCAATATTCCTGAATTTATAAGAAGCTTCTCTTCAATAAATTCTTTAAATTTTAATGGAGTAGTTGTTCTCCCCTGAGATTGAATCTATAAATAGCATTTTTCTGTTATATCTTCATCATTTATTAATCATATAGTTTTTTGATATTTATCTTGATGGCTTATTGATAGATGGTTATATTAAAGCCAATAATTGATCTAATATTGGATAGATCTTGCTCTATATAGTACACTTTTAATAAAAATCAGTTATACAGCTTCTATACTAGCTTTTTGCTTTCCTTTTCTATTATTATCTAATCTATTCAAATATTCATAAACTGATCTTTTTATTATATTCAGTAGCTGTTAACACTATTTATTATTCTTTAAGTTCTTTTTTTAAAATTTCAATTTTTTTGTTTAAATTATATTAATCATCTTATTCATCATTTTCTAATTCATTTAAAATCTCATCAAAGTTATCAGAAATTGAATTTTTAATTAAAAATATTGTTATTTTCTTAGTTTCTTTAGTAGCTTTCATAAAAGAGCTACTGGATTCATATTTATCAAAATATGTTAATTTTTTTGTTTTTCTTATAAGATAAGATTCACATTTTTTTTCTCGAAATATGCATCATTTGACCAAACTAATTTAACTTTCTTTTTATTATTATTGTACCAATTATTATTATCATTCCAATCATTTTATCATTCTAATATTTATCATTATTATCATCTTTCTAATCATCAATTATTTGTATTTTTTTTGCAAATCTTCCATTATTATCTTGTTCTTGTTCTTTAATATTAATTTTTCTTTTTGATAAACAGGTCATTAATATATAATAACAGATTTAATTATGATTATCAAGAAAATAAAATAAATGATGATTATCATGTGAAAATACATTTAAATTTTATATATAAAATACTAATCTCTAGTCTGAAATTTGTCTTTTTATTATATATATCATATAAAAATTTATTAAATTTTAAATTATAATAACTTAAAATTTTACATAATATTTTATAAAAGTATACTGATAAAAATATTCTATTTGTTTTAATTTATCATTTTATCAGTTTAGATTTATAATAAGTTTATTTGTTCTTAATTTATAAAGTTTAAAAGTCATATGATATTTATATAGTTTATAGATGATAGCCACCATAGAATCATGTTAATTAAGATTATTAACATGCAAATAAAAATAATTTGTAGATTTTACCTTCAAAACATAATCTCATGTTATTTGAATTAGCGTAGTAATTATTTGTCAAGTGTAATATTCCAAAATAAATAAATAATTATTTATTTATTTAATTAATATTTGATATAAGGATTATAAATAATCTTCTATTAACTATCAATTTACCTGGCCAAGAATAATAATTACAATTATAAGAACCGCAAAGTTTGATCCTCCTAAAATAAAAGCAAAATAAATTCAGATATAGTTTGACTAAAAAAACTAATTATGAAAAATCTGTGACTATAAATATAAAAGATTCATGTGCAATAAATATTTTATCATCATATAAAATAATCTCAAACTCTTGTATTTATCATATTGAAAGTAATATTCTATTGTAAAAAAAATAACTATAACGATAATTAATTTAATTTATCAAAATAAAAATTTTTTCACAAAGGTTTGTTTAAGAACTATTGTCTTTTTAAAATTCCAAATTAGCTAATTATCACAAATTTCATCAATCATCATAGGTTTTCATCTGACAAATAGTTCATCACATCAATCATCACAAATTTTCATCTGATAAATAGTTTGTCATGTCATTTGTCATCATTAGTCATCATTATTAAAGAGAATTTATAAACTATTAGCTAAACAATTTTTTGACCAGAATTTGAATCTTTATTTAATGCAAATTTTTCATGCCAAAATGTTCAATATATACTAGTGTGTAATAAGTAGATCTCAGACAATATTCACAGTCATCAAGAAGTTTTGAACTTTCACATGTGCACAGAATTAGCTGAGTCAGTTCATAATATATATTGTGAACCAACTGACTGGAAGGATGACAAAGAAATAGTAAAAAAAAGCTAATTTTTGAATCAAAATTAAACCATTGTAACCAAAAAAATAAAAAGTTAATGAAATTGAGTCAAAATCAAAGGGTATTATTTTAACCAGTAAAATACAGTATCTGTTTCACATTCGATAAGTGATGCATATTTTGATACTTTCACAATTCTAAATGTCTTGGAGCATCTATTTGTCATTTTTCTATTTTTATAATTTTATCTTAATACTATTTTTCAACGAAGTTTCAAATCTCTTTAGAAATCAGTCTTTATGAGAGATTTTGATATATTTATAAAATAAGTATAAAAATAACAATGAAAAATTCAAAAAATCAAGTAACTTTTACCAATAGGCAGAATACTTGAAATTGCATAAGCTTGATATTCACATAACAAACTTTGATCTGCAAATATATAACTTGATGATATTCATTCCTTTATTTCCTATACAAAGAAGATATACTGTGTCTGTAACATGATTTTTATTAAATCTTCAAAGCAAGTTAGGATTTTTTCAAGCTCTTCAGATAGTACTTTCAATCAATTTGACATGTGAGAAGTGTTATTTTATTTTTGACAAGGCTCTAAAAATATTCAGAGTGAAGTTCATAAAGAAAAATATGATCAGATAGATGACTAATTTGGAGAATCTAAAGCAAAATATCAAAGCAGCATATTACTGACTTAACTTATTGATTTCAGAATTTGTTGGAGATTAGTCAGTGAGCAAAAGTTCATGATTTATTAAGAATCATCAAGAAGCTCTTTGGAAATTAATTACTGAACTCAAAGTAGGACATAGCCAGAATCACATTCCTTATTTGCAGAAGTTATACAATTAATAAATATTGATTTTTAACAAATATTTACTTGCT